GTACATTAAGTCCTCCATCAAAATTAGTTACGGTTGTCATTCGACGGACATCGACCTAATTTTTACGATTGTTACATTCTCCCCCCATTAAAAGAATTTTGTCCCGAAATTCAATTGATAGGTGTATCGTTGTCGAACAATTGGGGGTATTTCTTCTTCATCTGATCCTGTCGTTCCCACATGAACTCTGGTCCCCTTTTTGAATTCCAACACACTTTCACAATAGGAATGCGACTTTATCTCAATTTCTTGATTTCACGGTCCATAATCTCAACTGGTTCTTCAATAAAGTGTAGATCAGTGTTTAACTCGATTTCGTCGAGAGGGATGACAAGAGTGTCATCGGCCAGACACTTTTTCAAATTTGAGATATGGAAAACATTGTGTACTTTTTCCAATTCTTGAGGTAATTGGAGGCGATAAGCAACATGCCCAATTCTTTCAAGAATTTCGAAGGGTCCAATGTACCGTGGGTTTAGTTTTCCCCCTCTTTCCGAATCTAATCATCCTTTTCTAAGGTGATACTTTTATCATAACTCTATCGCCCACTTGGAATTCCAAGGGTTTACGTCTTACGTTCGCATAATTTTTCTGACGACTATGTGCACCTTTCAATCGCTCTTTGATTTGCATAATTTTCTCGGTCGTCTCGTGGATCATTTTGGGTGCGGTTCGTAGAGTATCTCCAGAATGCCTCCTGGCTAGTTGTGTATCTCCAACTTCTGCCCAACATAGCGGTGAACGACATTTTCTTCCGTATAGTGCCTCAAATGGTGCGGCTTTTATGTTGGAGTGGTAGCTGTTGTTATACGAAAACTCAATTAAGGGTAAATGAATATCCCACGAGTTTACGAAATCTAATACGCAAGATCGGAGCATATCCTCTAAGGTTTGGATGGTTCGTTCACTCTGGCCATCTGTTTGTGGGTGATAAGTCGTGCTCATGTCCAAACGTGTTCCTAAGGACTTTTGGAGGGACTGCCAAAATCGTGAGGTAAATCTACTGTCTCTGTTAGAAATGATAGAGATTGGCACCCCATGAAGTTTGACGATTTCCTTAAGGTAGGTTCGGGTCACTTTTTCCATCTTGTCTGTCTCTTTGATTGGTAGGAAGTGAGCGGACTTGGTCAACCTATCCACTACCACCCAGATGGTGTCATAACCACGCGACGTTCGGGGTAGCTTAGTGATAAAGTCCATAGTGATCATTTCCCATTTCCATTCCGGAATCTCTGGTTGTTGAATTAACCCTGAGGGCTTTTGATGCCCGACTTTAACTTTTGAGCAGGTCAAGCACTTCCTTACATACGTAGCAATTTCTGCTTTCATGTTCGGCCACCAGTACAACCTCTTTAGGTCTTGGTACATCTTGTCGGAGCCGGGATGGACAAAATATCTCGTTTTGTGAGCTTCGTCCATGACTAGACTCCTAATTTCTCCGAATTTGGGCATCCAGATTCGGTTCATGAAATATCGTGTCCCATCATCCCTAAGCTCGACTTGCTTTTCCATTCCTCGCAGGGCTTCTTCCGTAATATTTTCTTCTTTTACATCTTCGAGATGGGCTTCCCGTATCTGTGTACTTAGATTGGAATGAATGGTCATGGTTAGTGCACGCACACGTCTAGGTTTCACATGCTCTTTCCGACTCAGAGCGTCTGCCACTACATTAGCCTTGCCAGGGTGATAACGAATTTCACAGTCGTAATCATTTAGCAATTCGACCCATCTTCGTTGTCTCATGTTGAGTTCTTTTTGGTCGAAGATATGCTGGAGACTCTTGTGATCTGTAAAGATTGTGAATTTAGTACCATACAAGTAGTGCCTCCAAATCTTTAGGGCAAAAACTACCTCTCCTAGCTCAAGATCATGAGTAGTGTAGTTGACCTCGTGCACTTTTAGTTGTCGCGAAGAATAAGCAATCACCTTGCCTCTCTGCATTAATACACAACCCAAATCCTTGACGACATGCACCGTAGTAAACAACAAAGTCTTCTGTTCCATCAGGGAGTGATAGGATTGGTGCACTGCACAACATGTGTTTTAATTTCTAGAACGCAACTTCCTGCTTATCTTCTCAGTTAAATTTCACATCTTTCTGTGTTAGTGCAGTGAGAGGCTTGGCCGTTTTGGAGAAATTTTCGATAAACCTTCGATAGTAACCAGCGAGTCCTAAAAATTGGCGCACTTCTGTCGGCGTTCTTGGTGCCTCCCAATTCTTGATTGCTTCAACTTTTGCGGGATCCACGTGTATCCCTCTATTGCTAACAAAATTCCCTAGGAAATGCACTTCTCTTATCCAAAATTCACATTTAGAAAATTTTGCATATAATTTTTCCTTTCTCAACAGTTCCAATATCAATCGTAGATGTTGGCCGTGTTCCTCCTTTGTTTGTGAGTATATCAAGATGTCGTCAATGAATACAATCACAAACTTATCCAGGTAAGGTTTACAAACACGGTTCATTAGATCCATGAATACTGCTGGGGCATTCGTTAGGCCGAAAGGCATGACAAGAAACTCGTAATGACCATACCGAGTTCTGAATGCGGTCTTTGGTATGTCGGTTTCCAATACCTTGATTTGGTGGTATCCGGACCTTAGGTCAATCTTGGAGTAGTAGCTAGACCCTTGCAGTTGATCGAACAAATCATCGATTGTAGGGAGTGGGTATCGATTCTTTATTGTTAACTTATTTAGTTCTCTGTAATCGATACACATCCGAAATGATCCGTCCTTCTTCTTGACAAACAGGACCGGGGCTCCCCAAGGAGAGAAACTTGGTCTTATGAAACCCTTGTCCAGAAGTTCTTGTAATTGGCTTGCAAGCTCTTGCATCTCGGAAGGAGCCAATCTATAGGGTGACTTAGCTACTGGTGCGGCGCCTGGTATCGAAATTTCGATTTCCTCCTGTATTCATAACTTCCTTACAGTAATTTGCAGTATGTCCCTTCTTGTTGCACTGGGTGCAATGGTAAAAATCTCCCAGGTGGTTTCTATGGCAGACGTTACACTTTGGGTAATTGTTTGTGTAGTTCTTTTGCGGTGCAGGTGTTGTTGTTACGACTGGAGTTGCCGCATAGACCTTCTTAGTACTTGCTTCTTAGGTGGGTTTGATTTTCTTTCAGAAAATTTCCTTTTCTTGTTTGATTCAGACTTGGGGGTTTCAACTCTAGTCTCCATGTTTCCATGACTAACCTCATTGTCGGTCAGTCGTTTAGCCATATTCTTGGCGCTTTCAAAGGTTGTAGGTCTCGAAGACATGACCATACCCTTGATCTTGGGAGACAGACCCCAAATATAACGTTCCACCTTCACATGCTCAGGGGTTACTAGAGTTGGACACAACAAGGAGAGGTCGTTAAATCTGGTTGTGTAGGCTTTAATGTCTGAACCTTTCATCTTAAGATTCCACAACTCGCTTTCCAGATTTTGAACTTCGTCTCTGGGACAATACTCTTCTATCAGCATGGTTTTCAGTTCACTCCAGGTCAAAGAGTTGGCAGGGATAATGCCTAGTGATTTAACTTGGTCGTTCCACCAAGTTAGTGCCGCATCCATGAAAGTACAGGCAGCAAAGCGCACCTTGCTATCTTTAGCACAGTAACTGATCTGAAATACAGACTCTATCCTTTCAAACCACCGGGTGACACCGATCACACCTTCGTTTCCATAGAAGTACTTGGGCTTGCAGTTCATAAAGTCCTTATAGGTGCAAACCCTTCGAGTCTCGGTAGGATTAATGTTTGAACTACTTCCACGCCTAGCCTCGAGTTCTTCAATTTTAATGATGGGGTTTCTTGCATTTGCGCTTCCCGTGTTTGTCATAGCGATCGTAAGTCGGTCTGTAATTATTCGTTCCAGCTCTGCTGTTGTTTGTGGGAGTCCCGTCTCAGGGGTTGGTGCAGCAACAGTCGGCGTATCCACAACCGGAATTTCCGTTGGCCGAGAGTTGGGTCGGCCCCTCCTGGGTCGAGATGTGTGGGTGGAACTGCCGTTTCCAATCTTTCGGGTTGGGGTCGATTTCTCAGTCGTTCGCTCCTCTTTCTTGGCGGCATGATTTTGATCTATTTAGTCATTTTAATTTTAAGTGTTTAATCAACCATGTTTTTAATAATTTATAATGTTTTTCAAGTATTTCCGAATGAATTTAATCAACTAACACAACAATCATCACATAACAACACATAATAATAATAATAATATATGCTTCATATATTTCACATAGTCATTTCCAAGTTTTACATTCGCTTACATTATCATAAAACTCCTACATGCTAGGGTCGATAAATTTACATGTTTACAAAAAAGAATCGACCGCATCAAAATTTTCAAGACCACAACGAGTTCCTGCATCCCTTCCCCTTACACCATAATTATATTATCCGAGGGTCACCAGCGACCCATACCCTATTACATATCCGAAATTTTATACCAAAATTGGCAATCACCTATGACTTGCCCTAAAACTTTCACTAATTAATATTCACTCGACCCCAAACTAACCCAATCCAAAGTTGCGAGATAGTGCATCCAAGATCTCTTGGATCTGTTCCTCCACACTCCCCATTCGCTCTGACACTCCTCTAGCTACAACATCTGCCTCGACGGCCCGCTGCAATGCCTCCCGGATCTGCCCCTCAGTCTCTAGCCTGCGAATCTCCTCTGTGATCATAAAATCGTACATGAACTGAGTCCTGTTCCGATCTTTCTTCATGTCCTCCTGATCCCGTCACCTCTGGGCTCTCATCTCCTCAATCTGTCTGGCCCGCAGATCATCGTTGGCATCCAAGGTATGTACCTCACCACCTATGGCCTCAACTTTATGGCCAAGTCGCAGGGTGCGGTCAAACAAGTATGACAGTCTATCCTCCTCAGTAGTGGTTGGGGGTTTCGACTTCGAGCATTTCCCTACGTCAAATCGATGGGTTCCTCCCTAGTCTCGGACCCATTCAGTCACAACATCGGTTATCTAGGCAGGATCATGCATCCTCATCTCTTAAATCTCACGAGGGGCTTTAGGTACAGTGTTTGGTGCAGGCTCAACGGGGGCAGTGTGGTACGGGTGAAAGTTCCCCGTGAGACTCGGGAATCCGTGGACTCGCATCCTAGGCTTCTTCTTCATAACACCTCCGCATGTGGGAATTGTCTTCTGTGCGTGTTTCCGATTGCGAGGTATACCTGAGCCCATGTAGTAAGAGGTAAGAGGTGGCAATGCAACAGGTTCTTCCTCCTCTATAGGGGTTGCTTCTCCCTTAGACTCGGATGCCTCGAACTCCATCTCTTCTTTGGCCTCCGGTCCAATCTCCTCTGAATCCTCGTTAGGATCCTCCTCAGGCTCCTGCTCCATATCCTCCGATCCTCGGTAGGATCCTCTTCTGGCTTGCTATCCCCTATCAGTATCGGCATCCCAGCGGCTGGTGGAGCAGGGAAATAGGGATCCCCTGGTAGGTGGTAAGGCGAGTCCACCTCTTGATCATTTTCGTCCCACTCTTGGCGATTTTTCCTATAAATAAATTTAGCTGTCGTCAGTGTTTACATATTCACAGTTCTACACAGTTTTAATTATTCATGAGTATGTTTTTATTTTATACTTTTTTTCGCGTTTAACAGATCAACTAATTCACTTAGTTTCAATAGTGCGTAGAATCTTACCAAAATAAAACGTAGGCGCGCAACTAGGTTTAGTTGTGGTACGACCTATGTACTAGAGAACCTAATTGATTATTTGACGTTTAAACTCTTGTTTACTTAATTTCTTAAAATTTTAAATTTATTTATAATTTATGGATGTCGCTTGTCTGATTATTTCTCCTTAGGTTTTTGATATTTATTTTATAATGGGTAGTTTATAGGAACTATTCTTGGATCATAGGATCGTCGACTTAAGGGGAAACCTACGCGTACTAATTATTAGACTTATAGGAATAAGTCTATTAGTGGTATGTTATAGCTTTTAGGAATATATTTGAACTACTCATATATGAATACTTCCACCCTATTAATGTATTATATGTTCTCATTTACCAAAAAAAAAAGAAACAATAACAGCAAAGAAAACAAAGCATCAAAGCAAAAAAAGTCAAGCAAAAAACAAAAACTCCTTAAAAACGAAAACTACACTACTAGAAAACAACCCTTTAATGACACGCAAATAATGACACACACCGATTTAGGATACAGATTTTTTGCGTGTCCTAAAAATAATGTCAGCTTTACAAAATTTGAAGGATAGAGGATACGAATTTATGCGTGGCCTAAAATTAATGTCCAACAAAAAAAATTAAAAACACGGAGGACAGTTATATTAAAATGGGTGTCATGTAGAGATGTATCTTTATATTTTTATAATGAAACGCGAGTTCTCTTCTTACGCAGTTACGGGGGAAATGAAAATTCCAAAAGTTTGAAAGGCCGCCATGTTTATGCTCTACCTTATTTCCATCGTTCTTCTCTCTTTCTCTCTCTCTCTCTCTCTCTCTCTCTCTCTCTCTCTTTCTCACACACACATACACACACACACACACTCAGACACACACTCTAATACTTAAAAAAACCCTAATATCGTCGCCAATCCCCTTTACGAATCTCTGATTTTTGAAGTTTGTTCTAGATTTCACTTAGAGAAATTACTGTCGTCCTGCAGTTGTACATCCTTGTCAAAACCGCCCAAGATCAGTTCTCCATAGTCATCACTAAACTATCCAGCACTCACTCTTTTACCACTCGGAAACGACGCTCCTGATGTGTTCGAATCTGTCATAGCCGTCGGTGGCAGAAACCCCCGCACTGGATTGAAAGCGATTTTATCTGCCAGGACTTTCGTTTCAGCTCTAGTTGTTGGTTTCGTCATGATCTACGCAGCTCCCTTTGCCGTCCGAAGGGCATCACTACAAATTTGTAGTGACCACATCGCGTTCGAAATGCCCTTTTGGGAACATCGCTTTCCTGGACTCGTAATTTGTGATATCCGCATCTCAAGTAGATCTTTGAAAAGTAGTTTGCTCCTTGGAGTTGATTGAACAATTCGTCTATTCGCGGTAGTGGGTATCGGTTCTTAATGGTGAGCTTATTTAGTTCGCGATAGTCGATGTACATTCGGCACGATCCATCCTTCTTCTTTACGAACAGGATCGGTGCTCCCCAAGGCGAGAAGCTCGGTCGAATGAATCCCTTACTGAGTAGTTCGTTTAGTTAGCTGGATAATTCATGCATCTCAGCTGGTGCTAGACGATACGGTGATTTGGCTACTGGGGTAGCTCCAGGAATGAGGTCGATTTGAAATTCAACTTGTCGTGTAGGAGGTACTCCTGGAATATCTTCAGGAAATACGTCAGGAAAGTTATGGACTTCAGGAATGCTCTTGAGGTCTTTCACTTCTTGCTTTTCATTCATGACATGTGCCAAGAATACATGGTATTCTTTGTGTAGGTACTTCCGAGCTTTGCGAAAGAAACTATGTGAAGGTTTGTACTGGGCTTATCGCTGTAAATGACGAGGGTTTTGCCATTTGGTAGATTAAGGCGAACGGCCTTTTCGTAGCATAGAATATCAACACGATGGGGGACATAGCCAATCCATGCCGATAATGACATCAAAACTTTTTATTGAGACTGTCACGAGGTTGATTTGAAAAGAATGATTGTTTAGTGAGAGGGTATAGTCTATGTATATGTCATTAGTGTTTTCCGTCTTTTCATTTGCCATTTCGACGGTGAATGTTTCGTTTAATGATTTCGGTGTTTGATTGAGTAAATGTTTAAACTTGTGGCTCACAAAACTCCTCTCCGCTCCACAATCAAACAATATGCATGCATAAGAGTCATTGAGGAGAAATGTACCCGTGACCATGGTTGGATCTGTTGTTGCCTTCTCCTGTCCCATTGTCAATACTCTTCCTACTCCCCCTATATTCCTTGTTTTCGGGCAATCCCTCTTAATGTGCCCTGTTTCTCCGCATCCGTAGCAAGTGCGGCTCGCTCCTATATTTGCGGTTGGGGTAGCTTGATGTGCTAGCTCTTTGCAGAAACGGATTGTGTGTCCTTTCTTGTTGCACTTCGTGCAATACATTTCCTGACATGCACCGACATGGTGGTAGTTACACTTCTTGCATTTCGGTAGATTCCCAACATATTATTTAGCCGGTGCTGGGGCTGCTGGAACAGTGAAGGCGTGAGCTGCCACCACTTGTTGTCTTTTGGAGGTTTCCTCTGTTGTTTTGCTCTTTCTTTTATTCTAAGGCCTTTTTTTGTTGTCACTTCCTTTCGGTTGTTCAGGGGCGGCTGTTATCATGCCTTGACGGACTCCATGATCAATGAGTCGTTGTGCCAAGCGGTTTGTGCAGTCAAAGGTTATAGGGTTGGAAGCTATTACGTGTCCGTGGATCTGGGGTGCCAATCCCCATATGTATCTTTCCACTTTCTTTGCTTCCGGGGTGACCATCCCGGGACACAATACGGCTAGATCACTGAATCTAGCCGTGTAGGCGGCGAGGTCAGATCCAGTCATTTTAAGGTTCCACAACTCATGCTCCAATTTTTCCACTTTGCCCCTTCGATAATATTCCTCTAGCATTAAGATCTTCAGGTCTTCCCAACTCATGGAATTTGCCACTGGGAGGGTTAATGCCTTGACATGGCTCTTCCACCAAGTAAGAGCTCTGTCGGAGATGGTGCAAGCTGCATATTTGACTTTACTTGCTTCCGGACACGTGCATATTTTGAAGACTGAATCAGTCTTTTCGAAACATTTCATTAGTGCGATTACGCCTCCACTTCCGTTGAAGGTTTTAGGTTTTCCGTTGGTAAAGTCTTTGTATGAAAACTCCCTGGGGTGTCCATGACTTTCTCCATGGTTCAAGTGGTTAGTACCATTGCCCGCTCCACTGGCACGACTTGCGTTTATTTGTGTTATGGCGGCTGCTACGGCAGCAATTACCGCAACTTGGAACATAGCGGGGTCATATTGTGGAGGTGGTGGCGGTGGTGGAGTATTGTTGAAACGTCTGGGATTCTTTATATGTGGCATCTTTCTGCCATAGAGTTAAAAAGTGAAAAGACGGTAAGTCTTCAATAAGAATTGTAAGTCGGGTGCTAATGAACTAATTTTATTAGTTTCTACATGCATTATGTTCCGACTTATAATATGTTTCGTATTCAATTCATAATAGAAATTTATGTAAGAATAAATTTATGAATTTCAATAGTAATACTCTCAATAAAGTAAAATGCTTGTCAATTTCTTTGACATATTGATACATAATGTTTTGGAAAATTTGACCTTGACACCGGTCTATAATACATCAAAGTTTAAAGGAAAATCTTGATAGCAATACGATTTCCTGAATAGTATAAACACCTAGACACAGGGTTGAGTTTATATGTAGATAAGAGTAATATTTAACACATATCCGCACTCCTAGTCTATATAAAAAATGTGAGTAGTGTAAACGCTACTCGTGGCGAGTGCTACTCTGAGTACTGGACTCTACCACTTCATGTTTTGCTTCTCTCAAATGTCGCTCCAGCGTAGCTTGATGCTCCCGAAGTGCTCTAATTTTGGCCCGGGCAGCAATCATTTCATCTTGAAAAGCTTCAGTGTGGTTCCTGGTCTGATCATGGTCTTCGTCCAAACGGAAAAGACGGACAATAGTAATCTCGACGGTAGCACCAACCTCTATGATTTGGTTGGCGGATGCCCTTGTCTGCCCCCCCTGGTTAGCGATGCGGTGAACTATCACCGGGAGAGCCCTGTCTGCTGAACCTCCTTTGGAGAGGTTATAGAAGCCTCTTTCCATCCTGTAAGGAGGGCATTGGCCCTATTCTTGGCTCCATGTTTGTAAGTCTACGACCCATCTTGGCATTGGGCCATGGAAGTTCTGTCTCGCTACAGGGTACCGGACAGCTTGCGGTGGATTGTAAACCTCTGCATCTGAGTCGGTGCCTTCCAAATCCTCTTCATCTTCATCTTCCATTGGCTCTTCTTCGGAATCCTCTTCATTTTCGTCTTCCATTGGCTTTTCTTCGGAATCCTATTCATCTTCATCTTCCATTGGCTCTTCTTCGGAATCCTCTTCTGGATCTTCCACGATCCAATCTTCATTTCCTTGATTTGGGAAATAGGGGTCTCCATGGGGGTGGAATCCTGTCATTGTGTCTGTACAAGAATAGGAATATGAGGAATACATGAAAAATTAAGTGTATATATCGAAGCCTAAATATAGTAGTTACGGTTATTATGGTATCATAAAATACTCATATAGTATTTTTAAATTTTATGTTTGGTTCTCGAGTTTATGAGGTCGGTAAGTTTTTAGATTTGTTGCCCACTATGACTATTACCAAGCGTATG